ACAAGGGGCCACGGAGATGGCTCAGTAAAATAAAATAAAATAAAACCATTGTTACCCTCCTATTATCTTTTTTGTTTTTTCTGTTTTTGTTTTTGGCGGAACCGGGGATTGAACTCAGACCCTTGCACTTGCCAGGGAAAGTGCTTATTCTACTGAGCCATCTCCCTGGTGCCCCTCCTATTATCTTGTTTTGAAATTTGTGGAATTTTTTTTCTCTTTACCATTAAATAAAAATAAAAAAAAAAATCAAGTCTTTCTATAATTTTCTTTTTGAGACCTGGTCTCACTAAGCTGTCCAGGCTTGCCCTGCACTTGTGATACTCCGGCCTCTGCATCCAGAGTGCTAGGACTACAGGCATGCACTACCATGCCCCTTCTTAAATTATCCCATTGCCACAAATGTTAAATACCTAGTATTTTGCTGTAAAACTGCCTTATCTTAAAATTATTTCATCTTATTTAAGGATTCCTTTTTTAAGATTCCTAAAACCACATTTTCCTCTTTTTTTTTTAAACATGTTCCAAAGACAAAAGTTTTCAAACTAAAAAAAAAAAAATTCTAGAAGTAGGAAAAAAAAACCAAATTCTCGGAGTAGAGAGTGTGGTACAGGGCCAGGGAGACAGCGCAACAGAATAAGCACTTGCCTGGCAAATGCAAGGGCCTGAGTTCAATTGGGGGGGGGGGTGTCAAGCAGTGGTACAGTGCTTGAGGTCCTGAGTACAATCTCCAGCACAAAAATAAAAATAAAACTCCTCTGCCAGAAAAAACATCAAGTTAATGGTGAGTGCCAGAATATGTAATTACCAGTGACTAACAAATGACCCAATGGGAATCTTACACAATGAGCTATGTACTTGCTTCTAACAGCTACATAGAGCTGAAGCGGCTTTTACAGAGAGTACTGTTTCACCCGGCATCGTAGCGCATGCCTGTGATCCCTGCACTTGGGAGACTGTGGCAGGAGGATCCTTGCAAGTTGGAGAACCTGGGCTACAAACAGAGCTGAAGGCCAGCTCGAACTGCACTGTGAGACCCTGGCTCAAAAAAAAGAAAAGAAGGCTTTCAAGGTTCTTTTCTTAGGTAGAGAGCAGAAACAAAGATCACAGGAAAAAGCGTTATTGAGCGGACAAAGCAACGTGGAGACCCAAAAAAACCGCATTAAAGTTAGAGTTGAAATCCAAGACCTACTCATTAATTTCTTTAAACCTCAATCCCCATCCCCCCACCCCACCCCCGTTCCGCCAAAAAAAAAACCCCACTAAATTCCCTCCTTTAAGGACCACGAGATAATTTATCTTAAGTCCTCTGAACACAGCCTGTTCTGCAGGAAACACTTAACAAATGGGGAAGAATTCAAGCGCCAAAGCAGCAAGCCATTCCCTTCAATAACAACGACCAGTTTATAAATATGTTAAGTTCGTGTTAAGGTGGCTAGGAAGCAGTACACAAAGAAGACAGCAATTAAGAATCTGATTTTGTTCACCCCGGGAACTGTTCTCCCTAAAAACACTTCAATACATTACACGACTGCCTAACGTCTCGTTTTTCAGGAAATATTAAAATACAAGTGAACAGATTCCCATTATTGCCTGTCAAGATTAAGACTACGCTTCCTTGGCAAGCACAAGGGCCTGAGTTCAATCCCCAGTTCCGAAAAAAAAAAAAAAAGATTAAGACTAAACAGACCACAGTCTGCAAATACGAATAATGAGGAAAAGATGAACACGTACTACAACCTCAATACTGGGCAGAAATCAGGAGAGTTAACAAACAGCAAAGTCCGGCCTCTCCGATAAAACCCTCCTTCCTCTTTGACCTCTGTGCATCCTTTCTAAAAAGCGTCTCCATCCAACCGAAAGGTACCCCTTCACCTGGTCGGAAGGGTGAGAGTTCTTCGGGCTAAACCACATCTTTCAGGCTCCAAGCCCAGCGGACGGGTCGCACGCGAGGCACAAAAGCCCCCGTCGCCGCGCGGGCGCGGACCCTGCCGCCGGGTCTCCCTGAGGCCCCTTCCCTGCCTCCTGCCTCCGGCCGCTGCGGTCCCCCGAGTCTCACAAGGACGCAACTCTGAGGTGGTCCAGGCCCGCGCAGAGGGGAAGGGGACGATCGGCCCGCCTTGCCCACGCGCCACACCCACCAGCTGCCTAGGAGCTCATTCCGCACCGCCCTCGGGGCCCTCAAAAGCCCATCAGACCTGCCCCGGCGCCAGCTTGCCGGGTCCCACGAGCCAGGGACACACACGTAGCCCCGCAGCTGTCCCGCGCTCCGCTGCTAATCGCGGGCGTCGCCACCTCATCCTCGGTGCAGCCGCCAGCACTTCCGGGCGCTCACGTGACGCCGCGGGACATGCCGGGAGTTGTAGTCCCTGAGGTCCTCCTCACCTAGCGCGGCCCTGCACCTGTCCGCTGGGGGCGGGGTTTCCGGAGGCCTCAGGCACCTGCGCTCTGAGGCTGCAGGGACGGTGCACAGACTGACAATGCGGGAAAGAAAAGAGAAATTTGGAGAGAACACAGTACAGATCGTGTTTTTCAGAATATCATTATTCCTTTTTTTGTGGTTATAGAAACTCATGAGTACTACCTGCCTAAACTTTAGAGGTGTTGGTGATTAAATGCAGTTAATGGTGATTAACTGCAGTTGCCCAAGAAAGCGGGACCTTTAATCAGCATCGGTCACCATTCTTTTTCTTTTCTTTTCTTTTCTTTTTTTTGGTGGTACCGGGGATTGAACTTAGGACCTTGCGCTTACCAGGCAAGTACTTATTCTACTGAGCTATCTCCCTGGCCCCAAAGGCAGACCTGAGACTCGAACCTACGACCTCTTGCTGTAGAGCCTAATGCGTAAACCGCTACGCTATCTCTGCAGCTTCGGTCGCCATTCTCCACGCGCACATCTGCCAAAATAGATCAAGAACTGGAGAGTTCAGTCTGGACAACTTCGTGATACGCTGTCTCAAAATTTAAAAGGTGGGGCCGGGGAGATGGCGCAGTAGAATAAGCACTTCCCTGGCAAGTGCAAGGGTCTGAGTTCAATCCCCGGTTCCAAAAAAAAAAAAAAAAATTAATTAAATTTAAAAAGATTAATGATGTAGTTCAGTGTGAGGGCCCTAGGCTTGAGCCCTAGTACCGCAAAATAAATAAATAAGTGAAATAAATAAATCGAATGACAGCAAAAAATAAAGTAGAAAGCAAAGTGGCTGGGGTGGAGGCAGATTTATAGAGTTTGAGATGAGAAAGAGTTCTGGTGGGGCTCAATGCACAAGAATGTATTGAATGCTATTTTACTGTACACTTAATATGGTGAAAATGGCTAGGCGTGGGGGCACACGCTTATAATCCCAGACTCAGGAGGCTGAGGCAGGAAGATTGCTGTGAGTTGGAGGCCAGCCTGGGCTACGCAGAGTTCAAAGCCAGGCTGAACTATGTAGTGAGAGTCTATCTCAAAGAACCAAAAAGGTGAAAATGATAATCTATACAGCGAAGGCTACACACATCTGCATTTGTGTGTATAAACAGGCACAAGTGCATACATGCATAACAAGAACAGTACATCACCCCTGCCACCATCACCAGATCCAAAGACACTTTTATCCCACAGCCTGAGCTGTGCTGTTTAGCCTTGGATTGGAGAGGGAGAGGCAGAAGCGCTTGACCTCCATAACCATTTAGGTGGCCTTGAACTCACAGTGGAGCCCAGGCTGCCCCCGAACTCACGGCAGTCCTCTGCCGCAGCCTCCTGCGTGCTGGGATTATAGGTATGTGCCACACTCCAGGACCCTTAGTCTCAGCCCTGAGGCTCTCTCAGTGCTGCATTCAAGTCAGCTGCCTTTTCTTAAACGTGGCTATTACCAGAAGAAAGGAAACATTTGCACCTAACTTCTTAGAAACTGACAGCTAGCGGGGTTACTTCCTGTGGTGGCCCACACACTGTGGTGAATCTTGACTTCCATTCCACTTCCAGTTCTCAGCCTGTAATGGTGACTCTCAAAGCCACAGCCCACAGCAGTGGAATTAGCAGTGTTCTTTCTACTTTTTTTTCTTGCTCTACTTACCAGCACTGGGCTATCTGACCTGAAAGAGAGGTTCCTGGAAGTGAAGGTGGAATTGTAGGGAAGGCAAATCATATTTAGAAGGTTATCTGAAGGGCAGACAAGCTAGTACATGCCTATAATCCCAGCACGGTGGGAGGGCTGAAGCAGGAGGATTACTAATTCAAGCCCAGCCTGAAAAACTTAGTGAATTAGCAAAAGGGCTGGGATGTAGCTCTGGGCAAAGGCCTAGGATTCCACCTCCAGAACCACGGGGGGGGGGGGGGGGGGGGGACAGGTTATCTGAAGAAATCATAGAAACATTGTCCTTGGACAGGAAATAAATTATCCTCTTTCAGTAAATTACCCATTTTACACCAGGCATGGTGGCCCATACCTGTGATCTAGCACTCACGAGGCTGAGGCAGGAGGATCATCTCAAGTTTTTTTTCTTTTTGCGGAACCAGGGATTGAACTCAGGCCCTTGCGCTTGCCAGGTAAGCGCTTATTCTACTGAGCCATCTCCCCAGCCCCATCTCAAGTTTGAGGCCAGCTACATACCGAGTTCAAAGCTGGCCTAAACTACAGAGTGAGACTGACTTTAAAACAAAAACACTAAACATTTAGGTTGCTGAACACGCAGACCAGTATCCTCCTTTAAGTGGAGATTCTACCTCTACCATCCGTGGACCAGTCAAATATGGGTCACCGAGGAAAACAGAGGCCCAAAGGAGTAATCCCAGCACTCCTGGCAGCTGAGGCAGGAGGATCACAAGTTCTAGCCCATCCTGGGCAATTTAGTGAGTTGGTAGACCCCGTCTCAAAATTTTAAAACGGAATAAATCCGGGGCTACAGTGACCAGAAAAGGCCCTGGATTGGAAGAAGAGAGGCGAGCAGCCCGCAGGTGCGGGTGGTGCCGGGCGCGGCGGTGGGCGGGGCTGCGCTTGCTGTCCTTTCACTTTCTCAGCCACTTGCCACCTGGACGGACTACAGTTCCCACCGCTCAGCAGGCAGAAGGAAGGGGCACCGAGGCTGCACGGGAAAGCAGGAGCCAAAGCAAACCTTACCTGCTTGGGAGGGAGAGACAGGTGAAGCGCAGGTGACCGAAGAGGGCGAGGGCTGGGGATGAGGGATGGAGGGGGTCACAGGGCAGCGCGGGCCGGGTGGCTCCTGGTGGATGTGCAGGCCGAGTGAAGTAGGCTTTGAGGAGCTTGTAGGGGGGCGGGAAGGAGGGGACAAGGAAGGAAGGTTTCAGCTCAAGTTGCAGTAATAAAGCCCCGGAAGTAGAAGGGCTTTGTTTAGTTAAAAAGTCAGAGAAAAAACAGTGGTTTAATTGTGCCTTTTGTCTGCGGGGTCATTCCGCCCGCCACCTGTGATTCACAGGCAGACGGTAGTGGTGGGTACCCTCTTCATCCTCTAAGCCCAGGTGCTCAGATATAGATCCAGTGTTTGTGTGCGTTTTCATTCATGTGCTGCTGTAGTCTTGGTCTTTTCTATGATGTTAAAGAAAAATGAAAGAATAAACCTGGGGGAAATGAAGAAAGCTGTCATAAGGCAAGCGTTATTATAGCACAACAAATTTAATTATCAGCCGGGCTTAGTGGTGCACACCTGTACTCCCCGCCCTCAGGAGGCTGAGGCAGGAGGATCGCTGTGAGTTCGAGGCCCTCCTGAATCACATAGCAAGCCCTTGTCTCGAAAAACAAAACTACCAAATGGGATAAGGTTTCATTTATTGTCCCAACCTCTTTGACAAAGAAACCTAATCAGTATCGCGTGAAGTAGAATGAAAGCCACTCAGGCTGTTCACTAAAAGGAAAAGTTCTGTTGCTTAAATATCTGATGAGCTGTCATGTGGAATAGAAATGTGGTAGGACACGGTGGAGAGAAGGTGCTCTGGGGCAGACATGTGGGAAGCCCAGAGAGGCAGGTTTGACCCACAGAAGTTGGAGCCACCCCATGAAAACAGACTGTTTTCAGGTGTGGGTTCCTTGTGATTGGCAATATCTAAGCACCAGTGGGTCTTTGTTTTAAGGCGGGGTCTCCCTGTAGTTCAAGCTAATTCACTATGTACCTCAGGCTGGCCTCAACCTCATGGGGATCCTCCTGCCTCAGCCTCCAGAGTGCTGGACGGACAGGTGTGCACCATCATGTTCTGTCCACAAGGGCGCCCCCTGTCTTTTCTTCTCGCAGGTGCACAGGGCAGGTCCATTCTAGGTGGCCCAGCCATGCAGCTCCCCAGCGCTGCCAGAGCTGCCGATGAGGATGTGGACTACCTGTTCAAGGTCATCCTCATCGGAGATTCTAACGTGGGGAAGACATGCGTGGTGCAGCACTTCCGGTCCGGGGTCTACACCGAGACACAGCAGAACACTATTGGGGTGGATTTCACCGTGCGCTCCCTCAACATCGATGGCAAGAGAGTGAAGGTGAGGACATCTGGTCAGCTGTGTGCTCCCCCAGTGGTCCCCAGAAAGGGGACACCAGGTAGGAATGCATGCACAACAAGGAAAACATGCAGAGTCTACCAAAGAGCCAGATGTGCTACACACGCGTGATGCCACAGAGCCCCGAGAACGGATGAGACTGACAAAGGGCTAACTTCTTTTTTCCTTTTTTCACTTTTTTGCCTAATACTGAGCCATAGCCCTGAGCTCATACCCAGCCCCTCTTTGAGACAGGGTCTCCCTATATATTTCCAGCTGGGCTCGAACTCACAGTGACCCCCTTGCCTCAGCCTCCCAAGTGCTGGGATTACAGGTGTGTGCCACCACATCTGGTTTTCTTTTCTTTTTTTTTTAAATTAATGAAAAATTCTGCTTGGCTTCTTTTTCACCGGTCTGTTCTGGCAGGCTTCTAATGATAGAATCTCCTGGATCTATGATTGCCAGCACGCATACTCTGTAGTATTTTCCACGTGCTGTGCCCAGTTCAATATTTTTGCCGCTGTAGTGATGGACACCAGTTTTGGCCAAGATGGCCTAGTACTTTATGTCAGATTTCCTCAAGGCTGGGCAGTTGTTGGCAAGGATGACCAATGTTACTTTGCCCTGTCTGATCATCTTCAGCGTCTGCTTGTACCCCAGCACGTATTTTCCACTTTTCATAATAAGTTGGAGCCTAGAGTTGATGGACTCCAGAGATTTTTTCGTCTTCTTTGCGGCCACCATCTTCCTGTCTTAGGTGCGGACGGCCCTCAACCAGGAGCAGCCGCTAAGATGGCCGGGGAGCCAGAAAGGAAGGACATCTGGTTTTCTTAGTGTCTCTTAAAATTTCCTTCCTTCCTTCCTTCCTTCCTTCCTTCCTTCCTTCCTTCCGTCCGTCCGTCCGTCCTTCCTTCCTTCCTTCCTTCCGTCCGTCCTTCCTTCCTTCCTTCCTTCCTTCAAGCACCATGGACTGAATGAAGTAGGCTTTGAGGAGATATTTAAGCAACAGAACTTTTCCTTTTTGTGAACAGCCTGAGTGGCTTTCACTCTACTTCACGTGATACTGATTAGGTCTCTTTGTCAAAGAGGTTGGGACAATAAATGAAAGCTTATCCCATTTGGTAGTTTTGTGTTTTGAGACAAGGTCTTGCTATGTGATTCAGGAGGGCCTTGAACTCACTCACAGTGATCCCCCTCAAAACCTTCACACTGAGCTACATCCCCAACCCTTTATATTTTTTTTTATTTGGAGACAGAGTCTCACTTAAATAACTGCCTTCCAAAGTTTCTGGACCACCAGACCTGGCCAGTTGTTATTACATCGGGGCCCCAAATGAAATGCAACAATTTTTTATCTTTTCTATTGATTTTTTTTTTTTTTTTTTGAGAAGGGTCTTGCTATGTTTAGTCCAGGCTGATCATGTGTGCGTGTGTGTGTGTGTGTGTGTGTGTGTGTGTGTATTTTAAGGAAGGCTCTCCAGGGTGTTCAGGGTCACACTACTGGACTCATAGTGATGCTCCTGTTTACAACCTCCCAAGTGCTGGGATTACAGGCGCGCACCACCACGCCCAGTCTCAACTGCCATCTCAGCGTGCCCCTGGGGTGGGACTGGCATGGCTGGCCTGGGGATCAAACCCCGGTCCCTGCACCTGCTTGCAGGCGCTTTAATCTGCTGAGCTCTCTGGCCCTCCCAGTTCAGGCTGATTTTGAGCTCACCACATAGGTCAGGCTGCTCTTTTTTTTCTTCTTTTTTTCAGGCTGCTCTTCAACTGGTTTCTTCAGCCTCCCAAGTTGATTTTTCTTTTTTTGGCTGGCTCAGGCTGCCTTAAGGGTGGGTCTGGTAAGGCATGAGGATCTGGGGATCAAGCGGCGCTCCCTGCACCTGACTGGGCTTTCCCCAGCAGGCGCTTAAACAACTGAGCTAACCTCCAAGGCGCCCTGATTTTTCAAGTTGAATGCACAAAAGATTGTCTCATTATCATTTTAATTTATACTTCTTTATTTGTGAGTGAGGATGGTCATTTCTATATAAATCTATAACCTAAAGGTGGATGTGTTGGTGCACGCCTTTAATCCCAGCCCTCAGGAGGCTGAGGCAGGGAGCTCATCACAAATTTGAGGACATTCTGGGCTACACAGAATCTGGGTGTTATGTCAACTTCGGCTTCTGCTCTAGTTGGCCTGTGTTTCCTATCTTTATCTCAAGAACCAATTCACACTGATGATGGGAGAGAGTGGAGACCCCATCCCCTAATGCTGTCAGGAGGCATGAGGCTCGCCACTGTTGCTCTGGACGCAGGGTGTGGAAGGCGACGAGGACAGACACTTCAGTGGTGCATATCGAGACAGCCCAGCCAGTGTCATCCCCTTTGCCAGCATTCGCACCCATGGGCAGGCTTGAAAATGAATTCCAGGGCTGGAGAGATGGCTCAGTGGTCTAAAGCACCTACTTAGAACAAACTAAGCTAAGCAAAGCACAGGGACCGCGGTTCAATCCCCCAGCACCACATGCCAGCCAGCCCCGCCCCCTGGTGGGCTGAGCTGGCCACACACACACTAAAGAAAGAAAGAAAGAAAGAAAGAAAGAAAGAAAGAAAGAAAGAAAGAAAGAAAAAAGAAAATGAATTCCAAACTCTGGAGCAAGCAATATTCTTGTGGAAAGTGTGAACAGAGCCCCTGGGGTATGGTGCAGGCTCCTCCCCTGGGCAGGACCCTTAGCTTAGGGGGCGGTTCCCCAGGTGACAACGACCCATCCAGGGAGCTCCAGGAGGAAGCAAAGAGACACATTTCTACCCTGCCTCAATCTGATTTTTTTTTTTTTTTTTTTTTAATCCTAGAGATTTAACCCAGGACCTTGGCACTGAGCTATATCACCAGCCCTTTTGTATTTTTTAAAATATTGAGCCATCGTTAGCCAGGTGTGGTGGCATATACCTGTAATCCTGGCACTTGGGAGGCTGAGGCAAGAGGATTGACAAGGGGGGCCTGCCCCTTAGCTCAGTTCTTTAAGTGGTTGCTTCAACAAAGCAGTCAGGCTCAGGTTGCTGTGGTTTGATCCCCACAACTCAAGCCAGCCAAACCTGCCCTGAAGGCATTCGGAGCAAAAAAAAAACACCAAAAAAACCCCTTCTGCCTTTTTGGGGCCAGGGAGATGGCTCAGTAGAATAAGCACTTGCCTGGCAAGCGCAACGGCCGACGCAGAGAGAACGCGCGCATGCGCGCCAGGGAGATGGCTCAGTAGAATAAGCACTTACCTGGCAAGCGCAACTGAGTTCAATCCCCGGTTCCGCCAAAAAGAAAGAAAGAATAAAAAGAAAGAGGGCTGGAGAAATAGCTCAATAGAATAAGTGCCTACCTGGCAAGCGCAGTGTCCTGAGTTCAATCCCCAGTACCACAAAAACAAATAAATAAATAAAACTGACTGCCTTCAAATGCCCCTAATAAAAATTCCTTAGAAAGAAAAAAAAAGAAAGAAAATAAGACAGGGTCTCACCGAGTTGCTAAATTACCAAGAAGAGAGCTTGCAATCCTCCTGCCTCAGCCTCCCAAAGCATGCTGGAATTATAGGCCTATGCTGCCATGTCATGTCCAGTTCTGGGGAATATTAAGTGGCTGAGGCGAACATGCCCGTGGACACAGACTCTCCCCTGCCCTTCTGCAGATGCAGGTGTGGGACACGGCGGGCCAGGAGAAGTTCGGCGGGCTGCGCGATGGCTACTACATAGAGCGGGGGCTGGGGAGATGGCTCAGCAGAATAAGTGCTTCCCTGGCAAGCGCAAGGGCCCAAGTTCAATCCCCAGCTCCGGAAAAAAAAACAAAACAAAACAAACCTGCCCTGAAGGCATTCGGAGGAAAAAAAAAAAAGAGGATTAACAAAAGTTTGAAGCCAGCCTAGGCTAGACAGTGAGGTCCAGGTCAACTTGAATTACATAGAAAAATAGGCAGAGAGAGAGAGACAGAGAGAGAGAGAGACGCAGAGAGAACGCGCGCATGCGCGCCAGGGAGATGGCTCAGTAGAATAAGCACTTACCTGGCAAGCGCAACTGAGTTCAATCCCCGGTTCCGCCAAAAAGAAAGAAAGAATAAAAAGAAAGAGGGCTGGAGAAATAGCTCAATAGAATAAGTGCCTACCTGGCAAGCGCAGTGTCCTGAGTTCAATCCCCAGTACCACAAAAACAAATAAATAAATAAAACTGACTGCCTTCAAATGCCCCTAATAAAAATACCTTAGAAAGAAAAAAAAAGAAAGAAAATAAGACAGGGTCTCACCGAGTTGCTAAATTACCAAGAAGAGAGCTTGCAATCCTCCTGCCTCAGCCTCCCAAAGCATGCTGGAATTATAGGCCTATGCTGCCATGTCATGTCCAGTTCTGGGGAATATTAAGTGGCTGAGGTGAACATGCCCGTGGACACAGACTCTCCCCTGCCCTTCTGCAGATGCAGGTGTGGGACACGGCGGGCCAGGAGCGATTCCGAACCATCACCCAGAGCTACTACCGCAGTGCGCATGCGGCCATCATCGCCTACGACCTCACGCGGCGGTCCACCTTCGAGTCCGTCCCACACTGGATTCATGAAATAGAGAAATACGGAGCAGCAAACCTGGTCATCACGCTCATCGGTAGGCCTGCTCCTAGCACTCGGCTTCTCCTCAGTGGTCTTTCTTGTCCTTTTTGTGGAACCAGGGATTGAACTCAGCACCTTGCACTTGCCAGGGAAGTGCTTGTTATTCCACTGAGCCATCGCCCCGGCCCCCTCAGTGGTCTTTCTGTGGGGTGCGGTGGCACACCCTGCATTCCTAGCACTCGGGAGACTGAGGCAGGAAAATCTCTGTGAGTTTGAGCCCAGCCTGGACTGTATAACAAGATCCTGTATCAAAAAACTAAAGAATGGGGCTGGTGAGATGGCTCAGTGGTCTAAAGCACCTACTTTGAACAAGCTTAGCAAAGCACAGGGACCGCGGTTCAATCCCCCAGCACCACATGCCAGCCAGCCTCGCCCCCTGGTGGGCTGAGCTGGCCACACACACACACGCACACACACGCACGCACACACAAATAAATAAATAAAACTAAAGAAAATGCAGATTTCTCACCTACTCCCCCAGTTGCCCATGGCAGGGGGACTGGGATGGCCCAGGACAGCTCTGTGAAGGGCATCCCAGCTCACTGCAGGCATAGGTGCTGGGTGGACCACACAGGAGGACATGCTGGAGGTCCCAAGTCCACAGCAGGCATCCCCATCATCCCCATGGCCCTAGGCTGAGTGTGGTGGCCTGCAATGAAGCCCCACACCTGCGACCCTGAGCGCTCTTAGCCACAGACCAATATGAAACTGACAGAAGTAGCTAGGCATGGTGGCATATGCCTGTAATCCCAGCACTTGGGCGGCTGAGGCAGGAGAACTGTCATCAGTTCAAGGCCAGCCTGGGCTACATAGTGAGACTTTGTCTCAAACAAAAAACAAAACAAAAACCTGGTGGAAGCTTGTGTGGCCCACGCCTGCAATGCGAGTTACGACCCCAGCCACTCTGGAGGCTGACATAGGAGGATCGACTGCTTGGGACCCTGTCTCCACAGAATATAAAAATGACTAGGGACCTAGCTCAATGGTAGCATAAGACCATGGGTTCAACCTCCAGGACTGAAAGATAAATAAGATGTTAGCTAGATCTGGTGGCACACACCTGTAATCCCAGTACTTGGGAGCCAGGAGTATCTTGAGTTCATAGCCAGCCTGGGGAAGATAATAAGACATTGTCTCAAAATAAAAAAGCTCTGAGGAGGGGGACAGGAAGATAGCTCAGTAGAATAAGTGCTTGCCTGGCAAATGCAGGGTCCTGGGTTCTATTCCTGGTACCGCAAAAAAAAAAAAAAGATTTATTTTGGGGCCAGGGAGATAGCTCAGTAGAATAAGCACTTGCCTGGCAAGCATAAGGGCCTGAGTTCTGAATTCAATCCCTGGTTCTGCAAAAAAAAAAAAAAAAAAAGCTCTGAGGATATAGATCAGTAGTAAAGGATTCACCTCCCCTGTGTAAGCTCAGGAGTTCAAACCCCACTAACACAAAAAGGAACAACAACCACTTACCTAACCCAATAACTCTTCAAATAGGGGCTGGGGAGATGGCTCAGTGGAATAAGTGCTTCCCTGGCAAGCACAAGGGCCTGAGTTCAATCCCCAGTTCTGCCAAAAAAAAAAAAAACCTTCAAATAGTGGATGATTAAACAAACATCTACACCATGGAATAGTACACAGCGATGAAAACAATCGCTGATACACTGAAAATGAGCTGCTAATACAATCTGAGTGCTCCCAAAGGAATTAGGCTGGGTGAAAAAAAAAATATATCAGAAGGTACATGCCGTAACCCTTCATTTGGGTAAGTTTTTTCACTTGCTATGTAGTTCAGGTTGTCCTTGAACTCATTCAGACTTGCAATCTTCCCACCTCAGCCTCCTGGGTGCTGGGATTACAGGCGTGTACCAATACATCTGGCCACTGTTTTCCTTTTTAGCTTTGGGTATTGAACCCAGGGCATCACATATGCATGCAGGGCAAGCAGGTACATTGGACAAGGCTCTGCGAACAGTGTACTGAGTCTGCATTGTATGTGAATTGGAGGAAAAGCTAAAAAGCTTTTCCTTCTGAGCCTCCAGCCCAGCAAGTCTGGCTCACTATCCTTGGCTGAAGCCCCCTTGTGCAGCATCTGAAGACTTGAAGTCTGGGGGAAAGGAATGCAAAGCGGAGCACAACTTGATGAAAACGGGTGGGCAGAGGGGACACACTGACTATTCTGCCCCAGGCAGCAACATACACCCCTTCCCTTGTGACTCCTCCTGGTTCTGAAAGATCTTACAGATTGGAAGCCAATCTGTATAAAGGTCTTGCTTAAATCCCTGAACTGCCCCTGCTGGGCTCCAACTTGCCATCCTCCTGCCTCAGCCTCCCAGAGTATACAGATGTGTCCCACCACACCCGCTTAAAATGCTGTTCTGAGTTTGTTTTGAACACAATCTGGGCTAGGTCACTTAGTGGGCTGTGTCCCTGTCCTTGTCCCCAGGAAACAAGTCGGACCTGTGGCAGAAGCGGCACGTGTTGTTTGAGGACGCCTGCACACTGGCCGAGCAGCACGGGCTCCTCGCCGTCCTGGAGACGTCTGCCAAGGAGTCCAGGAACATTGACGAGGTCTTCGTGCTGATGGCCAAGGAGCTGATAGCCCGCAACAGCCTGCAGCTGGACAGCGAGGGCGCCATGCACAGCCTTGCCCTGGAGTCCAGCCCAGTGTTCCTGGCCCAGGTCCCCAGTGAGAAGCCCCGCTGCACCTGCTGAGCAGGTGGCAAGGCCCACAGGGACCCTGAGATTCCAGCCTCCCAAGGGCAGCACTGCTGGTCAAGTGAAGCCTCACCTCTCCTTCCTAAGGCTCCCTCTTGGGTAGGCTGTCCCGGGGCCTGGATTCCCACCAGATGCCAAGGAATAGGGACACCAAGTTTCCTCAATACCTAGTGAACTAGGGCAGCAGGCACAGGAGAAAAGGGTGTGGTTTGTCCCATGCCTTTCCTTTCTTTGTCTTCCCCACACTCCAGCTGTTTTTTGTTTTTTGAGACAGGGTCTCACTATGCAGTTCAGGCTGGCCTTGAACTTTTTATATATACATATATAGCCCAGGCTGGCCTGGAACTCACAGGGACACTCCTGCCTCAGCCTCCTGAGTGCTGAGATTATAGGTGTGCACTATATTGCTTTTTGTTTTGTTTGAGATAGGGTCTCACTGTGTAGTTCAGGTTGGCCTTGAACTGATGGCAATCCTCTTCCTCTGCCTCCCAAGTGCTGGGATTACAGACAAGTGTCACAAGCCAGGTCCAATTGCTTTCAACAGGGTTTTGCTTTTCCACTTGAGGAAGAGGGTAGTGAAGGGAAGTGGATTATGGAGAGAGGGAAGAGGGTGTTCAGAATGTTCTGGAACAGTTTGAAACAGCTCAGGCAAGGCATGGGGAAAAGCCTCCCAGGGAAACCCCTAGTGCCGCCATTCACAGGCAGGGCTCCGCTTTGGGGAGCAAAACTTTTCACCTAAATCTCAGTGGCACCCTCTTGTCACAGGAACCATCAGAGAGAGGTGGGGTCCTTGCATCTTAGGTGGGCTGATTTAATCACCTTGCTTGGTAGGAGAGATGCTCACAATTTCTAAACACGTCGAATTGGTCTTTCTGCTTCTGCTGCTCTTTGCTGCTGCTCCTCCCTTTTTGCTCTTGCTGTTTTTGTTTTCTGCTGCCATGAACTGCTGCCCTCTGCCATGTGCCATCCTGCCCTGGAGCCAGCCAAGTATGGCCTAAAACCTACACAAACTGTGAGCTCAATAAACCTTTCCTTTCTTAAAAAATAAATAAGCAAACACATTGAATTATCTTCTAGAGCAGTTGTTTTTTAAATTTGTGTGTGTGTGTGTGTGTGTGTGTGTGTGGCCAGCTCAGCCCACCAGGGGGCGGGGCTGGCTGGCATGTGGTGCTGGGGGATTGAACCGCGGTCCCTGTGCTTTGCTAAGCTTGTTCTAAGTAGGTGCTTTAGACCACTGAGCCATCTCACCAGCGCCCAGAAGTGAGTTTTGACAGAAATTAAACTGGCTTAGAGATGCTCATCCAAGTAGGACTGTATTGTCTCTTCTGGAAGTGCCAGGAGGCAGGATATGGGTGCGGCCAGCAGGGGGAGCAAGTGAGTAGGTGTGCCGCCTCACTTACAGAAACCCAGGCACCCAAGAGTTTCCAAACCCTGCAAGTGGGACCAATCGGAAAGTGCAAGCTTCAATTCTGGTGTCTGATCAACCAGGTGTTTTGGTTTTTATTTGTTCTGCGGTAGAAGAGATCGAACTCAGGACCTCATGCTTGCAAGGCAGGCGTCAACCAGGCTTTGGTTAGGTCAGCCTCGATCTGAGGTCATTGTAAGGAACAGGGGGAGAGCTTTCAGCGCCCCCTCTCACCCTGCAGTGTGTGTTTCTTGTACTTGCGTTAATAAATGTAAAACCTTACTACCTTTTGTTTTCTTACTACCTTTTGTGCTTATTTTGTCCAAGTCTTTGTTCAGAACAAGAACCTGAAAAGAATCTCTGGAAGGAACCCACTGTACCCCAGGCCCCAGTAATAACCAGAGAGGCAGGGTGTGGGGGTAAATGCCCCTTATCCCAGCATTCTGGGAGGCTGAGGTAGGACAGAAGTTCAACTGCAGCTGGGGCCCCATAGCAATTTAGCAAGCCTCCCTCACCTCCCCACCCCTTTTTGCAGGATGGGGTTGCACCCAGAGCTTTGTAGAGGAAGACAAGCACTCTGACTCTGAGGTACATCCCCACCTGAGACCCTACTACAAAATTTAAAAATATTAAATTTAAAAGGGTTGGGGGTCAGCCAGATAGTTCAGCAGACTAAAGTGCCTGTGCAGGCAGAGAACAGCAGCAGGGATTTGAGGCAGCATGCCGTGCTGGCCCCAGCCTGAGGCTCGCTGGGACAGCAATTGAGACCAGGCATGGTGATGCCCACCTGTAATCCCAGCACTTGGGAGGCTAAAAATGGGAGCATCACAAGTCCAATCTACATAGTGAGACTCTGTGGACTCTGTAGATCCTGTCCTAAAATAAAAAAATAATAAAATAAAAAACACTAAATTTAAAAGGCTTGGGGATGTAGCTCAGGGCAAAGGCCCTGGGTTCAATCTCCAGCACACCCCCAGCACTGTAAAATAAAGATGTGACCAGAGAGCAGCTGGCACCTCCAGGAGGAATGGGGGCAGGACAGCATTTTAGAACGGCGGCAACAGCAGCAGTAAAGGCAGCTGGAAGATCCTGGTGCTCAAGGGGACCTGAGGGCCCCTAGCAGAGCTCCAGGGAGCCAGGACCCAGACCTGGTCAATGCAGCTTCGGATGAACGCAGCTTCTGCTCTGGAGCTGCCTCCAGGGGCGGGGCAGAGGCTGGAGGCCACTGGGAGGAAGGCCGTTGGCCTGCAGGAGAGGAGGTGCTCCAGCCGCAGCCCCTGCGGCCGTGTCCTCTCTGTACAGTGGCTCACAGGCCATGTTACCTGCTCCGTTGTTCACGTTGCAGGCTAGTATTTTTCTTTTTCTTTTCTGGAAAGGTCTTTCTGGCTTTAAGCTCACTATGTATCCCAAGCTGTCCTCAAAATTGAGGTGATCCTCCTGCCTCAGCTTCCCAGTGCTGGGATTATAGCCATGGGCGTCCACACTCTTTTTTTTTTTTAGCAAAGGTCTTCAATCCAAGTTGGGCTCAAAATCATGGTGACCTTCCTGTCTCAGCTTCCCATGCAGCTGCGTTTATAGGTCAGGCTGAGAGCTGTTACCAACAGCACAGCTGCTTGTCCCCTTGCTCTGACTTCAGGTGTCACCCCCAATCCTACCCTTCCAAAACGGCTCCTAGGAAGGAGATGTAACCAAGGGGCCCTCACCAGGGTTGGAACCATGCTGTTTGGACCTTTGGCCTCCAAAACTGAAAGCAAAATAAACCTCTCCTTTTTATCTATGTTTTGGTATCAGGAACTGAACTCAGGACCTTGCACTTGTCAAGCTGATGTGCTGCTGAGATATATATATCCTGGCCTAACCTCTTCTTTTTACATTACCCTGTCTACACTGCCATAAGCACACCAGGCAAGCTGGTCAAGAGGGCAGGGCTCCCTGTCCATGTACATGTAGTTCAGGCTTCCTGGTTGCCCTGCAAAGCCTGGGACCCCAGTCCTTCCGCTCCCTCGAGGCCTGGTATCTTCCTTCTGGATCCAGGATCTCACGGGAGAATCCACGCGGACCACAGCTGCAGGTCATCCCAGTACTGCAAATCAGGGGGTGCTTGGCGGCGCACTAGGGCTCCTCCCAAGGCAGCTGCTGTGCTGTGTGCACCGAGGATGAAGCAGGTCTCGCAGGAGGGAAGAGCAAAGGCCAGCGTCGGGGAGCCCGTCTTCCCTGTTAAGATTGGCGCAGATGGGCAAGACATATGGCTTATGTGCACAAGTGGACATGCCGCTACTCTTCTGTCAAAAAGGAGCTACGGCCAATAATGTTAACAATGAAATACATATATAAGAACTAAAGTTAAATGAAAACAGACAGACAACCAAAAAACAAAGTCCATGTGTTTCACTGGAGGCCCTGAGGTTGGGGTGGATAACCCAAGGCCTCGGACTCACAGCCCATGTGGGGATAGGAGACAACAGGAGACACTGAAAGCCCTCCCTCCACAAAGACCTTGGGTGGACGCAGACCTAAGCAGGTCCTAGGAATGTTGGAAATGACGATCTCAGAAGGACGTACGCAGCCTCCTCAACAACACAGGCCGGCTGCTCACATCTGCTCTGCATTTCTTCACATTTGTCCCTAACACTGGGAGACTCTACAGCTGCCGGGATGAGGTCTCTGGCATCACCTGGAGGGGAGGCACCACCTGGAATCAACCCTCTGCCTGTGTGAAATTACAGCGCAGCAATCAGATCCACGCATGCGCACTGGAAAGGAAACGGAGGCCTGCAGGCTGGGGCAGCTTCTGTGGCCTGGTACCCACAGAGGCTCTCTGTGCTATGAGGGACCAGCTTTCCTGAGCCCCAGTGTCGCTTGAGTGCACAGTGACGTCACTGCAGTAGGCTGCACTGTAGATACTGCACTGGGCAGGTTGTGAAGGAAGGAAATGCGGCGCTTTTCTCATATTCCAGTTGTGTGGCTGGTAATGAAGGTACATGAAATTATGTTCTAAAAAATCTTTTGTAGGGGTGGGGGTGGGGGGTACCAGGACTCAGACACAGGACACTGTGCATGCCAGGCAGGTGCTGTGCCACTGAGCTATATCCCTGTCCCCCACTTAAATGAATCTTTTTTTTTTTTAAAGTATTTATTTTATTATTTATGGCGGAACCAGGGATTGAACTCAGGCCCTTGCGCTTGCCAGGCAAGCACTTACTCTACTGAGCCATCTCCCCAGCCCCTAGAATCCCTTTCTAAATTAAGTTTACTGGTATACTTTATTTTTTTTTAATTTTATTTATTTATTTATTTATTTGTGTGTGTGTGTGTGTGTGTGTGTGGCCAGCTCAGCCCACCAGGGGGCGGGGCTGGCTGGCATGTGGTGCTGGGGATTGAACTGTGGTCCTTTGTGCTTTGCTAAGCTTGTTCCAAGTAGGTGCTTTAGACCACTGAGCCATCTCACCAGCCCTTACTGGTATACTTTAGGTGTACATAATGATCACATTTACCAAGAGGAAAGCTGTACCTGTGTATATATCTTGTTTGGGTTTTTTGGCAGAACCAGGGATTGAACTCAGGCCCTGGCGCTTGCCCAAGCACTTACTCTACTGAGCTATCTTCCCGGCCCTGTGTATTTATCTTCATTTTTTTTTTCCCCATTCCTCACCCCTCTGTTCAAGCCCTCCTCCCTTCCTTATTTATAAGCTTTGTCTTCATTTTCTCTTTTTTTAATTCTTTTGTGGGGTTTTAGTACCAGGAATTGACCTCAGGACCTTGCGCTTGCCAGGCAGGTGCTGTGCCACTGAGTCCCATCCCCGGACTGTTTTTGTTGTTCTTTTGTTGAGACAGGGTCTCACTATACCGTTTAGGCTGGCCTTGAATTCACAGCAATCCTCCTGCCTCTGCCTCCCAAGTGCTGAGATCACAGGCATGTGCAATGCCTGGCTTTCTCTTATTCTCTTAGAACCCCTCATCTTAAAATGATACTATGAAGGCTATGGATATAGCTCAATGGTAGAGCATTTACCCAGCATGCACAGGGCCCAGTACTGCAATAAAGTAATGGATAAATGGAGAAACAGATACTGATGTGGGATACAGGGAGATTAGTATTATTTTACTGGTGTAACTACCCTAAATCACTAAATTGCCCAGGCCAGTCTTCAATTTGAGTTCTTCCTGATACAGCCTCCCTAAGTGCTACAATTACAGGTATGCACCACCATGCCCACATTCAGCTCCTTTTGCACAGGCCTGGCACCCACACTGTGGTCCACTTCCATGCAGGAGCCAGGACTGGCTGAATGAGTGGCACATTCCTCACCTGCTGCCTATTCCTGCAGTCGCAGAGAGGGCCAAGGTGAGCACAGGGAAGACAGCATTGAGGCCAGAGCACAGCGGAGCTTGAGGGGGACTTGTAAACCTCCAGGGGAGCAAGAAAAGGCCTAGGGACTCACACCATCACAGGCACGGCACTGATACTGCCTGCCTACATCTCTCAATTTCAGAGATGTCAGGATATAATCTCTTCAGCAGCAGTGAGCACCCAGCAGCTCCCAGCACTGTTCAGCTAGGTCACTGTCAAGGGGTCTGGCCCACTTTTCTGTGTGTGTGTGTGTGTGTGTGTGTGCGCGCGCGCTCGCGTTTTTTTGTTTTTGTTTTTTTCCAGAACTGGGGATTGAACTCAGGCCCTTGTGCTTGCCAGGCAAGTGCTTATTCTACTGAGCCATCTCCCCTGCCCCTGTGTTTATTCTTAATCACATTGTTCAATTTACCCTCAAAAATAACTGATAGGGGCTGGGGAGATGGCTCAGTGGAATAAGTGCTTCCCTAGCAAGTACAAGGGTCTCAGTTCAATCCCTGGTTCTACAAAAAAACTAGCACTGGGGAGGCTGGGGCAGGAGGATTGCTGCAAGTTGGAGCCGGGCCTAAGAGATCGGAAGAGCACACGTCTGTAACTCCAGTCACGCCGCAACATCTCGTATGCCGTCTTCTGAAAAAAAAAAAAAAAAAAAAAAACAAAACTGATAAGAACTAGGTGTGGTGGTGCACCCCAGTAAACCCAGCCCTTGGGAGTTGGGACAGGAGGATTGCTGCGAGTTCGAGATGAGCCTTGAGGGTACAAAAGTGAGCACAAGGCCAGCCTGAATTGCAGTTGAGACCCTGTCTCAAAAACAAATAGGGGTCTGGGGAGATGGCTCAGTAGACTAAGCACTTGCTTGGCAAGCGCAAGGGCCTGAGTTCAATCCCCACTTCTGGAAAAAAAAAAAAAAAAAAAAAAAAATAGGGGACAGTAAGATAGCTCAGCAGTCTAAAGCACCTGCTTAGGCAAGCATGCATGGACCACCGTTCAAGCCCCATACCACATGCTGCACCAACCCTGTACCTACGATGGGCTGTGGGCTGAGCCAGCCACAAAAAGTAAACAAAAAACCAAAACTGCTAGCTGGGTGTGGTGCCACACATGCCTATAACCAACACAAAAATGGTACTTAACATCAGATTTCTAGATCGCATAGGCCAAACTCCTCCATAATAAGAGGAAAAGGGGTGGTGTTGTATGTACACACAAATACTAGGCTGAGGTCTATGACACTCATATTCAAAGGTGTTTTCAACATAAGGTCTATGCAGTCCCTTGAGCTTGGGCACTCGCCATTAAACCTTTTTTTTTTT